AAGTGACTCAACTTTGGTCACGTTGTGAGAAGGGCCAGACTCACTGGAAAAGACAGTTGTGCGAGGAGAAGTTGAAGGTAGCACAAAAAGAGGAAGACGAGGAGGGTTTTGTACCCTGCTTTTCTCTACCCTAAGATAGAAGAAGAAGAAGAGATTGGATTTATATTATGCCCTTCACTCGGAGTCTCAGAGCGGTTTGCAAACTCCTTCCCCTCCCCACAACAGACACCCTGTGAGGTAGAATCATAGAATCGTAGAATGTTAGAGTTGGAAGGGACCTAGCAGGTCATCTAGTCCAACCCCCTGCACTCTGCAGGAGCACAGCCAAAAGAGAGCCCTACAATATACCCAAAAGACGGTCGTCCAGCCGCCGCTTGTAGGTGGGGCTGAGAGAGCTCTGACAGAAACGGCTCTTTTCCAAGAACAGCTCTTATCAGAACTACGGCTTGCCCAAGGTCATCTGGCAGCTGCAGGTGGAGGAGTGGGGAATCAAACCCGGTTCTCCCAGATTAGAGTCTGCGCACTTAACCACAACACCAGACTGGCTCTAGGTAGGGTTGTAGCCTGCGCTGGGACTTTAGAGGCTATGCCCCTTAGTGGATTTTCAAAGCCCCAAATCTCCCCAATTCCCCATTTTAATTTTGAAATATTCACCTTGCTTTTTAAAACTTTGATTCGGCCATGCAAAGCGTGCATGGCACGAGTCATTCCGGACTTCCTTCCTCCTGTTTGGTCAGCTGGCACTGCCTGTAAAGTACAGACCGTTCCCAACCCTCCAGCCCCGCCCCCCCCCCGAAGAAATTTGGTCCCTGCGGTAAGCAGGAGCCGGTTAGCAGGAGACCAGAGGTAGGGCCTCAGTTTGAGAAGGGGTGTCAGGAGTCTGTCCCTCCCGGCGTGCTCCTCCATCAAGGAGGAAGTGAATTCTTTCCAGTAGCCTGCCTGTTTAGCCGGCATTCAGTTTTCCTACGGTCTAAGTGAGCTGGTCATTTACGATTTCCCTTTTTGCAAAATTAAAAGGGGGGGGGTTGTGGGGGAGGCAAAAGTAGCCATATTATAAGAGCCAATTTGGTGTCGTGGTTAAGTGCGCGGACTCTAATCTGGGAGAGCCGAGTTTGATTCCCCACCCCTCCACTTGCAGCTGCTGGATGACCTTGGGCAAGCCGTAGTTCTGATAAGAGCTGTTCTTGAAAAAAGAGCAGTTTCTGTCAGAGCTCTCTCAGCCCCACCTGCCTCACAGGGTGTCTGTTGTGGGGAGGGGAAGGGAAAGGAGTTTGTAAGCCGCTCTGAGACTCTTTTGGGTAGTGAAGGGCGGGGGATAAATCCAATCTCTTCTCCTTATAAAACGAAAACTTCTTGTTGCTGCAAATGTGGAGTACGGTTGCCACTCCCAACTTCAGGTCTAATGATGCCTGGAGATTAACCAGAAGTACACCTGATCTCCAGTTCCCCTGGAGAAAATCGCTGCTTTGGCACTTTAGGCAGGCCAGCTGCCCCCCCCCCCCCCAATCCACAAATGCAGAGTAGCGTTGCCAGACTCCAGGTGCGGCCTTGAGGTTTCCCAGAAATACACCTGATCTCCAGTCTTAAGTTATTTTTCATGTAATGTGGAATACTTCTCTCCTTTGGACTGGATGGGCCATTGGCCCGATCTGACATTGGCTTCTCTTATGTTCCCCGATTCCAAGTTCAAACTCCCTTTTTAGACGTAAACGCAGTAAAGCCTCTCCCACAATTATTCAATGCCAACGAGGATGCCTTTGCCAGAGGAGCGTATCTCGTGAAAAGGAACGTTCTAACACCGACAAAGCCCGAGTTGAAAAAAAGAGAGTGCAGCATCCATAATCCTCTTTGCTGTGCTCTTCGGCTATAAAGGTGGATTTCCAAATGCAGACAAAGTCCTCACGGCTGCTGTAACCTTTGGAGCCTCCAGTGCCACACGCGAGTCAGCATCTTTGTCATAAATAAACACTGAAAACACTGTAGAATAAACACTGAAACACTCGTTTCAGTCAACCCTTGCCTTCTTTATCCCTCGCTTTACCACATAGAATTTTATTACGCAGCCCCACAAGCAACAAAAAAGCCCCCTGAGCAAAATAAATAAATAAATCCTGGCTAACAGGCCTGTCCTAAGGAGTCTCAAAGCTGCTTCCCTTCAGTCACCTTTCCCTTCCTCCCCCCCCCCCCACTGGACAGGCACCTTGTGAGGTAGGTGGGGCTGAGAGAGTCCGGAGAGAACAGTGACTGGCCCAAGGTCACCCAGCAGGCGTCATGTGGAGGAGGGGTGGGGAATCAAATGCGGCCCTCCAGATTAAGAACATAAGAGAAGTCAATGTTGGATCAGGCCATGGGCCCCTCCAGTCCAACACTCTGTGTCACACAGTGGCCAAAAAGACCAGGGGCCATCAGGGGGTCCACCAGTGGGGCCAGGACACTAGAAGCCCTCCCACTGTTGCCCCCCCCCCCAAGCACCAAGAATACAGAGCATCCCTTTCCCTAGACGGAGAGTTCCTATCTTCACTTCGTGGCTCATAGCCACTGATGGACCTCTGCTCCAGATGTTTACCCGATTCCCTCTTGAAGCCGTCCCTGCTTGTAGCCGCCGCCACCTCCTGAGGCAGTGAATTCCAGGTGTTAATCACTCTTTGAGTGAAGAAGGACTTCCTTTTATCTGTTCTAACCCGACTGATCAGCAGTTTCATGGAGTGAGTGCCCAGGAGTTCTTGTATTGTGAGAAAGGGAGAAAAGGACTTCTTTCTCGACCTGCGCTATCCCATGCATAATCTTGTAATCCTCGATCACGTCACCCCTCAGGCATAGTTTCTCCAAGCTAAAGAGCCCCAACTTCATAGGGAATGTGTTCCAACCCTTTCATCATTCCAGTTGCCCTTGTCTGCACTTTTTTCCAATCCTAATATCCTTTTTGAGGTGTGGTGACCAGAATTGCACACAGTATTCCGCCACTCTTAATCACTACACCACGCTGAACCAACACGGGATGGATTGACTCCATCAAGGACGCCACGGCACTCTGTTTGCAAGACCTGAGCAACGCTGTTAAAGGTTAGGACACTCTGGAGGTTATTCATTCATTGGGTCACTGTAAGTCGGAACTGACCCACACATTTTCCATTCCCAGTGTAGCCCCGTAAGACCCAAACAGGAAGACGTTATTCCAGCAAAATCAAAATACAAACCTCAACAATCGCAATAAGAACAGACCTTCTGAGGTTGTGCACGATCTGAATGTATATCCCCCCCCCCCCCCTGTTTAAAATGTTCTGGGAAAAATCTTGTAGCACAAATTGCAAACCACAGCAGAAAAGGCAACGGGCAACTGACCTGTGACATTGGGAGGGGGTGCTCAAAGTGCATGTGATGGGGGCCAAAGTCTCTTATTTGATTTTTATTTATTTTCTCACTGGGACATAAACTATGAAACAGGGTTTGGGTTGTGGATCCAGCCAGACGTCTGTGTAAAACAGAACTGAAACAAAGCGTAAGTGTTAATATGACACATGAAACGATGCAAAATCACACACTAAGGTCCAAACCCACAGCAAACTCAACACAGTAATATAGACCGCAGTCCCTAATAATCTGTCCAAGTAACTTTGTGAATCACTTTGTATGATGTTATCCTAACGCTGCAGATAAAAGCCCTCTTGGATAATTCACAGATCCAGAGGAGTTGGCCCTGTAAGTCTGTTGCTACAAAATAGTAAAATGCTCAATACCACCTTTAAGACCAACAAACTTTATTGTAGCGTAAGCTTTTGAGGAACACAGCTCTCTTTGTCGGATGCATTTAGTCTTAAAGGTGCTACCGGAATTTTTACCATTTTGAATAATTCAGTTTGGCATGGTTTGCGGAAAGCCAGGAGACTGGGACCAGTGTGTCCCTCTAAGCTGATTTAGTGTGAGCTAGCTTACAGTTTTTTTAGCTCCGGCTCACACATTTTTGTCTTAGCTCGGGAAGGAGGGCTCCAGAGCAGACTAATGTATGCAGTAGCCAAATCGTTCGCTCACAACTTGAATGCCAGGAGCTCACAAAGTAGAAGTTTTGTTCGCAGGCAGTGTTCCCTCTGAGCTGGCTCACCGTTTTTTAGCCTCCGGCTCACACATTTTTGTCTCAGCTCAGGAGGGATGACTCCAGAGCAAAGTAACTGATGCAGTAGCCAAATCGCTCGCTCACAACTTTCATGCCAGTAGCTCACAAAGGAGAATTTTTGCTCACAGGATTCCACAGCTTAGAGGGAGCATTGACTGTGTTGTATGCACAGACAACAGGGACCCTCCCTGACTTCCTCAGACAGACCATTCCACAGGGTGGGGGCCACAACGGGTGAGGTTTAACCCCCCCTCCCCCAGGAGTGGGGGGGGGAGAAGCAAGCAATGCTCCTTCTAAGGAATCTGCAAATCTCTGTGTTTTTAACTATATAGATCAAGGGGATTTAGGGTTGGCAAACTCCAGGTGGGGCCTGGAGATTTCCCACTTTTCCAACGTATGTTCAGCTGACAGAGATCAGTTCCCCTGGAGAAAATGGCTGCTTTAAAGGGTGGACTCTATGGCCTTGTACCATGTTGAAGTCTTCCCCCCCCCCAAACCCCTCCCTCTCCCAGTTCCACCCCCAAAGTCTCCAGTTATTTTCCAACCCAGAGCTGGCAACCCTAAGGGGATTCCTAGAGTGTCACAGGAATGTGGTGAGAGCACTCCTGGTTTTTCAGCTGGAAATGACAGTGCAGCATCATGTGATGCAACCCCCCCTTCTCTGTTTGTTCCCTCTGCTCATTAGAGCAGTCGTGACCCCCCCATCCTCAGTTCAGCCACTCCGCCCGGCGGAAAGCGAAGGCGCTCTCTGCTGCCTCCTGGCGGGCATCCTATATATCGCCCGGTTGGAAAGGGGGAGAGAAGGAGGGGCCTCCCACGTGACTTCTGGGAAAGGGAGCGAAGGCGAGAAGAAACGGCCGAGGCGGAGGGATGCCGGAGCCAACTCCGCCCCGGCGCTGCAACCCAGTGCGAGCGAAAGCCCCGGCGAGCGACGCAGCAGCAGCAGCCGACGCGCCGGCAGGTAAACCTCTTTTGCTCTTCTTCTCTTTTGACCAATGATCCCTCTAAGCTGTGGAGTCTGGTGAGCAAAAATGCTACTTTGTGAGCTCCTGGCATTCAAGCTGTCAGTGAGCAATTTGGCTGCTGCATCAATTAGTTTGCTCCGGAGCCCTCCTTCCTGAGCCAAGGCAAAAAGCTGTGAGCTGGAGGCTAAAAAAGTGTGAGCTGGCTCACACTAAGTCGGCTTCAAGGGAACACTGCTTTTGACTGGACCAAGTTCGCTTTTCCCTTCTCTCGCATCGCTTGTTCTCCAAGCGGCGCACGAACTGAAACCGTCGCGAGCGGTGCCAGCGTGGGAAAAACAGCTGGAGGGCGGGCGCAGCTGGAGGAGAAAGGGGGGGGGAGATCGGCTGAGCACCTTCCTGAAAATTTCGGCGGAGGCTGAACCCCCGCCGCCCCCACGAAGATTACGCCTATGGATCGGGCGGGTTTGCTAGGAAGCCGTGTTTTGTCTAAATTGAGTTAGTGCGAGCTAACTCACAGTTCTTTAGCCTCCAGCTCACAGATTTTTGTCTTAGCTCAGGG